AGTAAAAACTGTCCCCTTGCAGGTCCTTGGGAGACCAAGACGCAATTCTGGCCAATAACATGAGAGGGAAGTCCTTAGGGCTCTGAGAAAGAAATAATCCTTTCTTAAAGGATAAGAGAAGAGTTTGCTGGTATTATTCTTCCTCCTTCCCATCTTGAACATAGGTGTAATGCCTGGAGGTGAAGTAGCCATAATGTGGTCATTAGGTGACATATTTGAACAACAACAAAAAGTGTTAACTGCTCAGTATGAAGAAGATAGAAAAGATCTATATTCTTTGGGTACCCTGTTGCATCATTAAAAGAGTTCTGGAATCAACACTTCAGATATGTCAGAAAAACAAATCACTTATCTAAGTCATCATTTTTTAACTTACTTATGTGTTTGTTACTTGCAGCAAGAGGCATTCTTAAACAATACAGATGCATTTCAGTCACTAGTTATTACTTATCTTCCAGTTGAATACGTCTCCTTTTAAAAAATCTTTCCCCTGGGATTAGTTATTTTCTACACTCTCTGGCTTCCCCCTATTCTCTCAGTGTTCTTTGTAAAACCCTCTTCCAGAGCCCACCCTTTATATGCTGGGGTTTGTCAGTCATCTGTGTGAGGACTTCTTTGCATCTCCCTCTATAGAGTTTCAATTACCATTTGCAGACTAATTCAGGTTAGTATACCTTATCTGAAATGTTTGAGACAAGAAGTATTTCAGATTTTGGATTTTGGAATATTTGTCTATCTATGATGAGATATCTTGAGGATGAGACCTAAGTCTAAATATGAAATTCATTTATGTTTCATATACACTTCATACATACAGACTGAAGGCAATCTTATAAAACCTTTTTAGTGTGCCTGCATTTTAGCTGTGATCTCATGTAACTCCACGCATGAAGTGACTGTGGAATTTTCCACCATCATATCCTATTGGTGCTCAAAAATTTCATATATGGGATCATTTGAATTTCAGATATGTGGATTAGGAATGCTCAACTGATAATTCCAAATAACCAAGCTAGAGCTTTGAGCTTTTAAATGCAAATATGAAATTTGGTTTGCAAATCTGGTTACCTCTATTCATTTTAATAATCTTTTCCCTCCAAAATTTCATACACACTATTCTTACTGACTGGATCATTCTCCCTCGTCCCACCTTTTTTTTTCACGTACATGCACATGCTGGGGCTTAAATCCAGGGCCTCGTGCATGCTGGGTGAGTACTCTACCAACCCATCCCCCTCCTGTTTTTTTGTAATTGTTTTCTCATTCTTGAGGTCTCACTTTCTATGGGAAACCTTTTATATTACTTTTCTAGCATCACTTCTCTGTGTTCCCCAGGACCCAACATCCCCCCATCATAGGATTTAACATACTTTATGTTGTTGGCTTCTTCAATGTGCACAGTAATGTGTCTCCCTTGTCTTTATTTTATCCTGAGCACCAAGTAAAATAAGAGTTTAGCAATTGTGTGCTGTGTGAATTTTTAAATTTTCTCAACTCTCACAAGACTCACTCATTTCTGCTCTATCCTTGCTTCAGAACGCTGGTGGACAGGGGATACTTAATGTGGCAGACACCCTGAGCTAACTATCCAAGAACCCTTCTTCAAATCCTCTTTACTGACAGAGGTCAGCTTTGCCTCAGGGATACAAAATGTCCAGCCAAGTACTCAGTTTCCCAGGCTCCCTTATAGCTAGGTGAGTCATGTGACACAGTCTGGCCAATGGGAAGTAACCAGAACTCCTCTGGTTAGGACCATGGGAAAGATTTTGCTTCTCAAATTTTAAAAAATAACTAACTGGCCTCAGCCCTTCCCATTTCTTCTTCCTTAGAACTCATACTTAATGCCTGGAGCAGCTACAGCTATTTTTGGAAGACAGAGGAGCCTACGTCGGTGATGATATCATTGAGACAGGGTACTAGCCTGAGCTGCCTACTCAAGACTTAAAAAAGAAAATAACAGCAGGTTGAGATCTAATTCACATATTAGAGAAGTCATTCACTTAAAATATATAACTCAATGGCTGACCTGTGCCAAGACTTTATTATGTGARAAAAATAAACCCCTATTTAAGTTACTTGTGGCTGAAGCTTTTAATATTTCAACAGCCAAAGCATTCCTAACTTACCCCTTATGACCTCTTCTTATCCCTCAACCTATTTGACTTCTTAGACTATTGGTCTCCTCATTGCTCCCAACACTTCACCTAGGTCCATGCAAGTGAGACCAGTTCCCCGTTTTATGAAAATGAAGCTTAAAACAAACACCAAGTTTTTACCACACGAACAAAATAATGAGCATTTTGTCATAGAGATCCTAATGGTGGAGACCTTCCAGGATACCACAAGACCCAACCCCTATCCTTTCTCCTGCCTTCTTCGCCAGAAGCCACAGTTGTCAGCAATTTTGTGTGTATCTTCCAGGCCTTTAAAAGTATTTTTCTAAAAAAATCTACTGTGTATTAAAAAGTACTTCTTTGTGGGTTTTTACATAATCATTTTAATCTATAAATGAGGAGAATTTCATCTCATTTCTCTGACATGTCCATTTCTTTGGTTTCTGCCCAAATGGTCTAGTCAGGAGCTCCAGGGCAAGACAGATCAGCACAGGGACATGGCTCACCTGGACTCAAGGCCAGCTTTCCTGGCCCTACTTCTGCTGAATCATACAGCTTTTCTCAGGTTAGGAAAGTTTCTTTTTATTCCTATTTGCTGAGAATTTTTCTTTAAATCCTGAATAGGTGCTGAATATTATTAAGTCGCACTGATACATCTTTCTTTTATATAATTGTACACTGCATACTTACTTATTTATTAATAAGAACCATCTGAAAATATAGTTTCCTTATTCATGTAATGTTTTGTATAATGATATTTTTTAATTAACTTTTTTATTTATATATGACAGAGGAATGCATTAGGATTCTTTGTGTGTGTGTCTTCATACATGTACTTTGGATAATGATGTCCATCACATTCCACCGTCCTTGCTAACCCCCTGTCCCCTCCCTTCCCCTCCCACCCCTCTGCCCTATCTAGAGTTCCTCTATTCCTCCCATGCTCCCCCTCCCTACCCCACTATAGGATAATGATATTTTAAAATATTTGTTTAGCATTTCAATTTTAGATCGTCATACTTCTGGGGACATGGTGATCAGTCTCATCCTGGTGGAAGCCAACTGCCATGTCGTAAGAGGCCCATGGGAAGAGGAATGGAAGCCTCTTGCCATTGACCTGTACAAACTCACCAACCCCGTGAGTGAGGGTCATGGGTCAAATCGTGTCCTTCAAATATTCCTAGGTTGAAGACTGAATCCCCGGAACCCCAGTGTCACTCTATTTGAATATAGTCACAGTCTTTATAGAGGAAATCAAGTTAAAATGAAGTCATTAGGTTGGTTCCTAATCCAGTATAACCAGTGCCCTTATAAGAAGGGGAAACTTGGACGCAGAGATAGGGATAGGGAGATGATGATGCCAAGGAGCACAGAAACAAGACGGCCTCCGAGAGCCGGGGAGAGAGGCCTGGAACAGATCCTTCCCTCCTGGCCTTCAGAAGGGACCACCCCGGCAACACTCTGACTCTAGACTTTCAGTCTCCAGAATGGTAAGAAAATTACTGTGTTGTTGAAGGCCATCCAGTCTGTGATTTTGTTACAGTAGCCCTTTATGGTATGGAATGACTTGTGTCCCCATTCACCTCCCCAAAAATTCACATGTTGAAGTCCTCACCCCTAGCCCCTCAGAGTGTGACTGTATTTGGGGCTAGGGTCTTTAAAGAGGTATTTAAATGAGATTCTTAGGAAGGGCCGTTAATCTGATCTGACTGGTGTCCTTATAAAAAGGAGGTTATGACTTAGACACACACAGAGGGAAGAACCTACGAAGACACAGAAAGACAGCCATCTGCAAGTCAAGGGGAAAGACCTCAGAAGAATGCAATCCTGCCAGCACCTTGATCTCAGACTTCCAGCCTCTACAACTACCAAGAAATCAATGGAAACAAATTTCTGATATTTGGCTGGGCATGGTGATTCCCACCTATAATCCCACCTAATTGGGAGGCTGAGGCAGGAGGACTGAAAGTCTAAGGCCAGCCTGGGTAACTCAATAAGACCCTGTCTCCAAATAAAATTTAAAATAGAGCCGAGGGTATAGCTCAGTGGTAGAAGCCCTGCATTGGATCCCTAATAAAATTTGTTTTTCAAGCCAATCAGACTGGCACGGAGCCCTAGCAGACTAATATAGTGAGCCTCACTGAGAGTTGATAGTCCAGCTCCACTCAAGCCTTCAGATGACTGCAAGCTTGGTCAATATCCCAGTGCCAATTCATGAGAAGCCCCAAGCCAGAACTACCCAGTTAAGTCACCTCTGGAGTCCTGACCCTCAGAAACCGTGTAAATTAATAAATATTTGTTCTTATTTTAAATCACTGAGTTTTATGGTATTTTGTTATGCACCAACAGATAAATACAACAGATTAAAAAGAAGTAATTAGCAATAATTAATGCTATTCAATTGGCATACTCAGGAAAATATCCTATGCCATTCCGAAGTCAATTTCACACTGAAATACCACCTTACATTGAAGCTTATTGTTTTAAAAATAATAAAAAGCTCTACGCTGTATTCAACTTAATTTTTTTTATTATGGTGCTGGGATTGAACCCAGAGCAGTCACTGCACACTCTACCACTGAGCAACACCATCGGTCATCAACTGATGAAATGAAAATTACTCATTATTTTTAGGTTGAGTCTAAATGTATTATTCATAAAGAGAAGAGCACTTCATGCTTTTCATTTATCAGAATATCTGGAAAAAGCAGAGAATTAAAGAAATGTATAATAGGCTCCACAGAATATTCCCTTTTTCCAGAGTAGCATCGCTCACTAGTCAAACAAGCATGGGATCTGAACTAGACCRCTCTAGGTGCTTGTTGGCAATCTCAAGCAAGCAAAGGAGAGCAAGACCAGAGCTGCACACRTAAGAATGGCACATACCTCTTGATGGCCACCAGCTCCCCAGACTCGTTACTCTTGCCCATCAGCACACTCCCGTAGGTGCCGTCCCCCAACTGTCTCATGGTCGTGTATCGGTTCATCTTGGAAAAATTATGCAGCAGACGTTGTGGACTGAAATGAGTTCCTTGTTGAATATCAATTTAAACACTTCTTTATCTTTACTCGCTTTTGCCCTCACTCTGTTGTTGTTACAGTGGTGACAGGTTTGTCATCCTTAAATTTAGGCTCTGCCTCAGGATTATGTAGATTCATGAGATGCAGCAATAAGGAATCTGGCAAAGAAACACTGCTTCCATTCTTATGAACACCCTATAAAAAACAAGAGGAAAATGAGTTTTAACTCAAGTGTCTTGCAAAACATGTACTGCAACCTAGAGCACAGAGAGAAATCATCAATAATGACAGTACCATTTGTCAGCAAGTCAGTTGTGTTATGTGGAAGAAAGATCACTGGCAACATCCATTCGTTGAATGCTTCATTCACACTGTACTGCGCTATTTATCTTATGATTGTGCAATATTGGTTAATGATTTATTTGATTCCTTTTTAATGGATATAACCTATCTTATTCTCCAAATAAGACCCTGAAAAAWGTGACATCTAAACAGTGTCCAGGGCTGGGGACAGAGCAGAGTTGGTAGAGTGCTTGCCTCACATGCACAAGACCCTGGAGGTTCGATCCTCAGCACCACAAAAAAAAAAAAAAAAGAAAGAAAGAAATAAAATAAATAATATCTATTTTTTAAATTAATTTTTGCATCATTTTAAATTTAGCAAATTAATTTAAAATTATACCCTTTGTAAAAATATTTCCAGATGATCAGCTACCCCAATTAGGAAAGGTAAAAATAAAGCAAACYTGTTTTATTATTAAAGAACTTCATATTTCATTAAGGTAAAATGCCACTTTTATATTAAACCAAGAAAAATTTATGTGCTAATTAGGAATTTGTATCACACTTGGTTCATATCAAGAAATGAGAAATAGAAAACTCTGAAGACTGAGGTTTGAATCTCAGCCAGCTTTCAAATCCCTGCATCACAGGCAAAACTTTCAATCTACTGGACTTGAATTTACATAACAAGGTCATTTCAACACTAAAAGACCCCATGAAACTATAAACATATTTTCTAAACACTTTGAGCCACCCCCTTCAAACTCAAGCTTAGTAAAACAGCTTTCTTTTTTTTAAACCATTATTTCATTATTACAATGACACTTTGCTCCAGTGACACACATGAGTGGCCCTTAGATGGCAAGAGCCAGGTAAAAATGATTTGCTTATGTTATTGCTTGTGAGCTGTGATCAATAATGAAGTCAGCAGAGCATAGGCTATATCACTTCTTATTTTTTTATATAATTTTCTCCTATTTTCCAGACCTTTAATTTAACTTTAAAAAGCCTTTTATTTGGAAATAAGTTCAAGTTTACAGATAAGGTGTAAGAAAGAACAATACAAAGAGTCTAGATTTACCCATTATGAATGTTTTGTCCCATTTCCCTTATTATTTGAGCACCTTGCAACCTTTTTTTTCCTGAACCATTTAGGTTTAACTTGCATGCATCGTGACCCTGTACCCCTACTAAAGATGAACACAATACTTACATAAATCAATCCTACTCCAGTTTTCTCAGTTGATTCAATCATACTCTTTATAGCACTGTCCCCCTCTAGATCAGGATAGAATCTATGATCAGTTTTTACATTTCATTGTCATCTGGCTATAAAATTTTGTGGGGGAGGGGGTTAGTTATATAATTGCATGATTTATTTGTCTACAAGTTAGGAAATTTTGTGTGTACATTGATCGATTATTTGGTGGCTATAAAGTCTGATAGTGCATGACCAATTACAGATTTAAAGTAGAACATAAAACAATACCAATCTTAAGTGCATGGAAATTATATTTGATTTTTCATTATAATTTGAATGACAGAAATTTACTTTTAAATATTTTTGAGAGTAAATAAATTTGGAAAGAACTTCTTTATATCATCTTTTTGAATTTTAAAAATAAGAAATTTATTATTAAAAGAACAAGGGACAGGGTCTAGATTCAAACCAGGTATCCTGCAAGTGCAAGTTTCCTTGAAGGTGGATCCGGAGAGTGAATTTGGAACAGTCCTTTGGACAGCGCTTTATCAAATGTAAAGCTTCCACTTCCTGGCTTATTTTCCAGTTTGTATCCTACCATCAGGAATGTCATTATCCGACTGAGCAGGAAAGATTTTGGGCTGGAAGAGTTTGGAATTTTGAATGTTTTGGGAATTKGGGAATATTTACATCTTCATAATGAAATATCTTGGGAATGGGACCCAAGTCTAAACAAAAAATTCACTTATGTTCCCTATGCAGAGCCTAAAGGTAATTATATGCCATTTCAGGATGCTTGTGTCTTGACCATGACTAGTAACGTGTGGTCAGGTGTGGAATTTTCGATTTGCATTGTTAATACTCAAAATGTGCTTCAGATTTTGGAGCATTCTGGATTTTGGGTTTTTAGATTAGCAATGCTCAACCTGTATTTATGAAGCAGTTAGCGCAGTATTGACATACACTATCCAGTAAAGACTCATGAACCCTATGTGAAACTCCTGGGGGAGATGAATTTTGGAATCCAGAAGTTTCCATATTTCAGAAAAGTAATATCGTACATATACCAGTGTTATGATATATTTTCAAGCCATATCTTAATATACCTGAAAAAAACTACATGAAACATATACTAAATAAAATAGGTAAAGACTATAAATGGCCTCATGCCATTTAGTCTTGCTTTCTTATGAATGAATTTACTCAATTTTATTTTATTATTTTTTAGTTGTAGATGGACATAATATCTTTATTTTATTTATTTATTCTTATGTGGTGCTTAGAACCCAGTGCCTCATACATGCTAGGCAAGTGTTCTACCACTGAGCTATAAAATCCCAGCCCCTACACAATTTTATTTTAAACATTTTAATTTTCAGAGTTTTGTGGATTTCAAAATCACAGATAAGAAATTACAGATCTGTACATATTAGAAGGTAGAGGTATCTTTCAGGTTTTACTAGGTCCTAATTTTATTACTTCCTTAAACAAAGCACACACCTAGTATCTACCTYACTGCAATAACTAATCAGTTTTCTCCCACTGTTTGATTTTAGTTCTTCATTTTAAGGACATATTTTCAATACATTCCTATTTATCATTCCTGTTTTATGTTTAGAAATCTCTTATTCTTTTTTAAAATGCTTTGCTTTGTTAAAAATTACTTGTATTCCTCATTGAATTTTAAAATTTATGCTCTTWATCCATTTTATTTTAATTATGATTATTAGTGCATACTAATTGTGGCATTTTCATGCTTGCATATAACATACTTTTATTCTACTGAAATCTCTTGTTCTAAGACTTTGTGATTAGTYGCACATGGTTAATATCAAAATATAAGCACCATTAAAAGAAATCACTGATTTTATAATGCCTTTTATAATTTGGTACTTCATTTAAAGATTATTCTTTCTCTCACTGCAGCACTTTTACTTCCACAAAATAAAATTAAAGAAATTGCTTCTCTATTACATGTGGGAATTTAGGTGCAACAAGGATATGTTGTAGTTGTCAAAGTACCTAAAGCTTTCGAACTCAGGCTTTCTTGAGAAAGATATACATGTACAGAKAAGTAAAACAACACTGTTTTTCCTGTTCACAGGAAATTGATGGAAGAATTCTGTGGGACCTTTAAATGGCAGAGAGTTTGTATTAATTTAATACATATCCTACTTCACATAGAGAATAATCTCTTCAAAGGCACACGGAAAATAATTTAAGCTATGCTAACTCTGAAGCCAGGATCTTAGAAAAACAAAACAAAAAATGAAAACAAAACCACAACAGTAGATTCCATTCCTATGTAAGGGTTACTTCATTTTTCTTAACTTAAACCTAAACTAAATATCATAACAAATGCCAGCAAATGATTTGCTATTTGCCTTTGAAAAAGCAAAGTTTTTATAAGTGGTCTTTATTTATATATAGACACTGATTCAAAATATTAAGTTGTTAATATGGAAAAAGGTAAAAATCTTTGWATGTTATTCCAAACTAAAACACATGTTTTTCTTAATTTGCCCTGTATTTATGAAGCAGTTAGAGCAGTATTGACATACACTATCCAGTAAAGACTCATGAACCCTATGTGAAACTCCTGGGGGAGATGTAATTGTACTATGTGCTATGATTTAACAAAAMCTGAATTAAAACTTATTTCTTATCATTTGAGAGTTTGTTAAATCAGCATTTTGCAGGTTATCACCAGCACATTAGATTGCTAACCACTCTTGCTAAGGTGACATACACCTGTACCTTTTGTAGAAATGTGCTCTTTGTAGGCTTACTGGTCCTTTCTGGTTAGATAGCAATATAGAGAATATATATCATATTCCTCATGTCAGTAATATAGTGAAATAAAACCATGGAAGGATAAATGACCTGTCTATGATCAATCAGAGAATTATTGATGGAGTTGGCTTAATTCTTGCATTAGATTTGAAGCCGTTTTTTTTTTTTTTAAGTCTAGTCACCAATTATAACAACTGGTTCTTATGCAGTTATGATCACTGATGCAGCGGAAGGAACCAAACCATCCATGCTCTAAAACCCCACAACTTAACATTAAGATCCCTAACCCAGCTCCTCACCCTGAACCACCACCATACTGCTGGCCAGTGGGCAAGCGCAAGGGTTCGACTCCCTACCCTGAAGCCTGGGGCTGTACCTGGGTCTTCCAGATACCTGGAAAGACACTGAAAAATCYCAGAAACAATAAAGGGAAAGTGTGAGATGTTAGAACTTGGAAGGTTAAGGGAGAAGGAGTCATGTAGAACTCCCCTCATAAAAATAATTCAGAACTGAAGTCRCATGACAGCATCATCTCTTCTTTTAACCAAATGATTTTCATGGTAATGCTTACTCAAGTAAGGTCCTGAGAGGCAGAAGGTAACTAGGCAATTCTGAGAGAGGACATGCTGCTTGAAAAGGAATGGAAGAGGAGCTACTCCCAGAAGATGATTATGGTGGTCACCAAGATGGGGTGGGRGTTGTTATCCAGGAAGTGGAAACAAGTGCAGAGGTAAGAGGGCCACCAGAAACAATCAGCATGTGCCCAACAACCTGAAGAAAAGGAATTAACTGYCTCTCTCTTTCACCCAGTGAGAGCATCAATCACCATCACCACCACTACCTTGAGGTGAGAGGGTGACCCTAAATCTGCACCAGGACATCAGTAAAACAGAACACTGAGTCACTGATGACTTTCTGC